TTTGAATATGCACATAGTAAGATATATGATAGCAGTTGGTTTGGAATCAACAATGGACATGTAAGAAAACGATCCACTACATATCACCTTTTCTGATAACAGGTGATGCCGTCATCCCAAAAATCTTTGGCTTGTTAGTAGACTTGTAATAAAATTCCTTCACCACAACAGACAATAGTTATAAAGATGACCCTTGACTATAAGAGAAATAACAGAGACAATATATAACATACAAAAATGAAATTAACCTTCATTATCTTTGTATATGGATGCTTTCCAGTAGCTAGATGGCACTCATCAATAATCATCAAGCATACCGCTTCCAAGCTCAAGAATGCCTTTTTCAAGGCATCCAAAAGAATCTGGGGTGTCATTACTAGCACCTACAAGATAAAATAAAAAAGGATATGCATTAACTTAATAGCATCTACAAAACATTGAGAATACTATTTTTTGACAAGGATTCTAACATGACTGTTTACATGCGATGCATAAATGTAAGTCTTTGATAATGCTATTTTTAACAAGGAACCTCGCTAATTGTTTTCTTCATATTCTAATAAGGTTCTCGCTCTGCTAGAAATCAAATAAATGAAGCATCAACAGTGGGTAAAACAAGTAAAAACTCAATAATCATTTAGAAAGGCTACCAACAAAAGGACCAGAAAAAAGGAATTGTGGCAAGCTGGATCTAACTGACTTCTGAAGGAAAACTCAAGTTTCTTTCCAAAAGGAGTGGTGGAAATACCGCTTATAGCCTCAAACAGAAGCATGAACTGATACCCTCATTAAACAAATCATCACAGTTATTGCTCAACTTTAAAAGAAGGAAACTTACATCATGCTCATTTGTTTCCTTTTCCCAGCACTCCATAGTCCATGAATCAACCCCCTTAGCTCCGTAATACTCTTCCACTTTAAAGTTTGTGTTTACTTTAACGACCTCAAATTGCTGCAAACACAAAAACCATTTAATTTCAACAATTTGTGAGACTATCAATTAGCCACATTGCAAGATTGCTCCTAGGAGAACTATAAATTAAAAATAAAAATAAAAAGCATTTAAAGAAAAACTGAGGAATGCCCACATAAATATTCTTAGGAATTTTTATTATTTATAAATAAATAAAAAAAGGTAGAATGATGATGAGTCATGAATGGTAAAATTTTGAGGAAGCAAAATAACAAAAAAGGAAATATATATATTTTAAAAAGGAACAAATTTACTAAATTAGAAAAAGAATACCTGATGAACTAAATGAACAGTTGGAGCCAAAAATACAATCAATTTTTGGGCACCACTTGACTTGATAGCTTGACCAATGTCACTGATGAGCATCGCAGCTACCATATCCTTCCCAGAACCTGTCTCCACCACTGCTATGGTGTTCCTCCTCTTCGCAACCTCATAAACATTTGCCTCATACCTAAAAACACAGACACTTAAATTATTCACACCCAATAAATCCACATTGTCAAAAAAAAATCTTAAAATATACAAAAAACAAATAATTAAAGAGATATAGATAGAGAGAGAGAGAGACCCGCTGGGGTTGAAGTCATTGGAAATCGGGGATGATTGTTGATCCTGATCAGCGACATGATCAAGCGGTTCAGAGGCCATGTCGCCGAAGCTCCGTTTCAGAGGATTCTGGCCCTTCCTCTAGCGAATGCGCGTTGCAGATTGTGAAAGCGAGAAGCGAATGAAGAGGAGGAGAAGAAGAAGGTGAAGAGCACAAGAAGCGTGAAACCTATCGCTGGGTCTTCGCCAGTTGAGAGAGAGAGTGTGGAAGCAACGGTTTTTTTTTTTTCTCAGAAAAAGCTTCAGAGTAGACGGTGACGCTGAGATAGGGATGGCAAAAATCCCCCAGGGGCGGTCCCGTCGGGTTCCCGACCCTAATTTAGGGTCAAACGGGTATCGAGTACGGGGATCCCCAAACTTGAAAAATCCCCGACGAGTATGGGGAGGTGATAGTATTGACATCCCCATCACCGAATCCGACCCGAAAATATATATGTTTATATTTAAATAAATATATATATAATTATAATATTTATGTTTAACTCTAAACCTCCATCTCCTAATTCTTCCTAATCTTATTTGGATTTTCATATTGATGTGATTTTGAATAGTTGAGTTGAACTTTATAATTAATTTGAATGTGTTGAATGATAATTTAATATGAAACTTAATGTTAAAATGTATGATAAATATTTTTTATGCAAAAAAAATTGGGGATTCGAGGCTGGTATGGGGGATAGTCCCCCGACGGGGACGGGGACAGGGATTCCCCGAAACCTATTAAACGGGGATTGGTTCGGGGATGGGGGCGGGGATGGAGATGGGATTGTCATAACCGGCCCCTACCCGACCCGTTGCCATCCCTACGCTGAGAGCCTGAGAGAGATTAGTAAGTAGTAGCGCAGTTGTTTAGACCATCTCCAATCCATGAGAGGCTAAACCCAAATTTTCCCCCTCCAAAAAGTGACTATTTGAGTTTTGCTCAAACTCAAAATCATTTTTTCTCCCAACCCTCCAGACTCAAATTTTAAGTTCGTAATTTTATTAAATTGTTTAAGAATGGTTTAAGTCTAATTTTTTATATTTTTTTTATGGATAACTTTTCTTCATTTAATCTTTTTAAATAACTTCATAATTTAATTTTTTGAACAATTAACCTAAAAAAAATTGAAATTCTAAAAATATATATTTTTGTAAATTATTTGAGAAATGAGTGGGTATTTATAGAGTTTGGGGTGAGTGTTGGGGTTGGATCTAATTTAGATTAAGTTAAAATATTATTTTGATTTTTGGATTTAAATTTCAACCATTGGATCTTTTTTTTTACCGTTAAAATAACTTAGATTTAATATATATCGTTGATTTAAATTAATATTAGAGTATAAAAAAGTTAAAAAATACACAAATAACATCACTACAAGACAAATGCAGCATCTTCCACATGGGCTGTGTGGCAGGCCCCAATAAAGAAAGCTTGCACATGGGCTGCTGATGCAGCAGGTGGGCTCCACAATTTTTTTTAGGTCCAGGAAATAAGGCCAAGTCCAGCGGGAGCACAAAACCGGGCAAAAGGCAGCCCAGTCAAGCCAAACAGGCCTCCAGCGCGCAGCCTCAAGCCCGGGCAAGTGGTGGGTTCCACCAACCTGGGCAAGCCCACGGGCAGATCTTGCCTGGGCTGCAGCCCGAAGGCGCTGACGCCAGTGCTGATGTCATGCTGACGTCAGTGAGCAAAAAAATTCAAAAAAATCCAAAAAAAATCAATTTTTTTATTATAAAATATACCAACAAATTATGGATGTTTTCCCTATAAATACTTAACAATTTTATTCACTTTCTAAATTGTTTATATTTTGTTGCATAATCTTTTTTTTTTTCTTGCCCTTGCCCTAGCCTTCATGGGTGGAACCAACTAAGGCAAGGCTGCCACTATTCACATGAATAGTAGCAGCCCTTGCCTTGCCCTGCCCTTGCCCTAGCCTTCATGGGTGGACTTGCTCTAAGTGGACTGGTATTTGGGTTCGAATTTGGGAAAACCCAAATTTTGAGTCCTTCATTTTGTTGGGTTGGAAGAGGTTTTGGGGGATATTTTGGGTTTAGGTCCTTGGGTTGGAGATGGTCTTATTGTGTGGGTTTCTAAAGCCCGCCAGCGGTAACGTAGCGTGATACCACCTCCCAATCACGTTGTGCGGCCTTTGCCTAGACAACGTCGTTCCTCGAGCTAGCAGAGTCCAACCCGTGCTTTAGTTGACAATACTGCTTTCTGTTTACCAACAAAAACGCTTTCCGAAGAAGGGCCCACAACGTTCGAAATTAAGATCGTGGAAACAATAAACCTAAGAAATAAATAAATCAAACGCCTTTAAAAAAAAATACTAGGGAAACAAAGTGATATTGTATATTGTAATAGGGGCCTGTAGCTCAAGTAATTAAGAGTATTTATTTTTGCAATCGAAATTCTAAGTTTGATTTCCCTAATATTGTTTGTAATAAAAAATGATATTCTAAATTAACCAATATAAACCGAAAAAAAAAATTCGCTAGGAATAAATACAAAAGTAACGTTACATTTTTATTTTTTTTGGGTCTGGGTTGCAAAATAAATTGATGCATCACATTTTTGTACTCTATTTTCCAAACTTACAAATTTATTTTAATATTGGTTGAATTTTGTAAATGATATTTATAACCCAATGCTATTGCAAGGAATTGAAAACCCTCTTTGAAGTTTTGAAGTAAATGAAATTTCACTCAAATTGATGAAGTAATTATTTTAATTTTAAAGAATATTTTATTTTATTTTATAATGTCACCAATAAATGCCTTTTAAAAAAAATACTAGGGAAACAAAGTGATATTGTATATTGTAATAGGGGCCTATAGCTCAAGTAATTAAGAGTATTTATTTTTGCAATCGAAATTCTAAGTTTGATTTCCCCAATATTGTTTGTAATAAAAAATGATATTCTAAATTAACCAATATAAACCGAAAAAAAAATTCACTAGGAATAAATACAAAAGTAACGTTACATTTTTTTTTTTTGGGTCTGGGTTGCAAAATAAATTGATGCATCACATTTTTGTACTCTATTTTCCAAACTTACAAATTTATTTTAATATTGGTTGAAATTTGTAAATGATATTTATAACCCAATGCTATTGCAAGGAATTGAAAACCCTCTTTGAAGTTTTGAAGTAAATGAAATTTCACTCAAATTGATGAAGTAATTATTTTAATTTTAAAGAAAATTTTATTTTATTTTATAATGTCACCAATAATCACCACAAAAGCAGCTTCCATCCCTGAAACGATGGAAGCGATTTGCATCTCTCAATACAATTTCTCGTTGAACAACCTTTGATATATATTTGACTGCATTATGGCAATCTCCACAAACTCTAAGGTTTTTATCACCCGACTGGTGGCAGATGAAGGAGTGCTTATCAGTCCATAAGCTATGGCTAGCTTCTCACTGTGGTAATAGAGAGAACGCTCTTTCTCCTATTCTTCAATATCAACCAGTGCAAACTTTGTATCCGGGACGTACCCTTCTTCGCCGATCCGTTTCATCAAGTCCTCCACCTTGTCATATATCTGATCAGCTTGTGGATGGGATTTATCGTCTACCACGAACAAATGTACCTTGTTCTTTACATTTATCCAGCTGAAACCTGGTTCTTTCTTTACCTTCTGCCTCTTCATCATTGTTCTAGCATCACTCACAACATCCCACTGGTTGGCAGCAGCATAGATGTTGGATAAAAGAACGTAGGCGGATGAGTCAGATGGCTCCATGGCCAAGAGCTGTGCTGCTACTCGTTTTCCGGTTTCTGTGTCCCCTTTAATCCTGGAAGCACCAAGCAGGGCTCCGTACATTGAAGCAGAAGCTTCAAAGGGCATTGATGCTATCAGCTTTTCTGCCTCTTGAACATGCCCTGCACGACCAAGGCCATCCACTAGGCAAGAGTAATGCTCAATCTCAGGTTCAACGCCATAATCCTTTTGCATTGAAGAAAAATGCTCATAAGCTTCAGAAACTAAACCAGAATGGCTACATGCTGAAAGGACTCCAATGAAAGTAACTCTATCAGGCTCAACGTTCTTAGATTTCATGACTCTGAAAAGATTTAGTGCTTCTTCAGCATTTCCATGCTGAGCTAAACCCACCAACATGGCATTCCACAGGGCAATGTTCCTAACATCCATCCTTCTGAATAAACGATACGCATCTTCTATGTTACCACACTTAGCATACATGTCAACAAGTGATGTTGCAACAAAAGGGTCCAAGGAACAATCCAACTTTATCACATCTGCATGTATCTGTTTCCCTTGTTCCAATGCTGTCAGACAAGAGCTGGCTTTGACAAGGGTAGCAAAGGTATACTCATCAGGCTGAACTCCCGACTGCTTCATCTGATGGTATATATAAAGAGAGCGCCCTTCATCCCCATTTTCTACACAGCCTGAGATCATAGTTGTCCATGCAACATCATCAGGTGTAGGGATGCCATTGAAAATTCTGTGTGCACTTCGCATTTCTCCACATTTAATATACATATCTAGAATACCGCTATTAACAAATAGATCTGAAGAAAACCCTGTTCTTATGGCATGAGCATGAATTTGCATCCCTGGTTCCAAAGCTACCAGGCTACTAGTTGCCTTAGCCACAGTCGCCAAAGTAATTTCATCTGCCCTCTGTCCACTTTCATGCATCATCCTCATAAGTTTCAATGCTTTGTGACTGTCATTACTCATTATGTACCCAAACATCATTGCATTCCAAGATGCCATATTGAATTTAAGTTTGTTTTCAAAAAGGATCTCCGCCTCCTCCATCTTTCCACTTCTAGAATAAACATCAATAAGAGCCGTTGAAACAAAACGGTCAGCGACAATAGCAGATTTTATAGCATGAACATGAATCTGTTTACTGACACACAACCCTCCTTCAAGTGAGGAGCAAGCCCTTAAAACACTTGCCATAGTAAATTGATCAGGTCTTAGACCATCACGTAATAAGCCTATAAATAAAATCACCGATTCCTCTCCTAAACCACTTTGCGCACAACATGATATCATTGAGTTCCAAGTAATTAAGTCCGCTTCCTTCATGTTATTGAACACTTTTCTAGCAGAATAAACAGAATGAGCCTTTGAATACACATTGATAAGGCTATTTGTAACAGAAACAACAGAATCAAACCCTGATCTCAAAGCAGCACTGTGAATCTGTTTCCCCAACTCCAAACCACTTACACCTGCAACTGCAGATAGAATAACAACTAATGTCACACTGTCAAACTCTACTTTTGATCTAACCGTATTTCTAAAACAGTCTATAGCAGCCCAATTTTCACCAGCTTGAACATACTCGGACAATGTCTTGTTCCACGAATATATGTCTGACTTAGTATCTTTGTAACTGAACAATTTAATATCATCACAACGAAACAATTTCACTGCATATGCTTGAACCTGCTCCATGTTCCTCTTGCCTTCATAAGAATCAAATTTGTCAATCCCACTAAGAACAGAACGCACACTGACATCATCAGGACGTAATCCACTCCGGTGAAATGCAGAGAAGAGAGAAAGTCCTTCTTTCTCAAGACCCATCTCCATATAGGCCTTGAGCATTGTATTCCACATCACCACATCTCTTTCCTCCATCCCATCAAACAATGCACGAGCCTCTTTAATCCGTCCGAGTTTGGAATATATATTCACAAGTGCACCAGAAACAAACACATCCCATTCCAATCCAATTTTAACAGCATAACCATGAACAGCCTCCGAAGCCCATACATTCCCTGAGAGCAAGCACAGCTTTAAAACCGGCGCCAAAGTGAGTCTACTGGTAAAAACGACAGACTCGCGAAGACTCCGGAAAAGGGTAAGACCCTCCTGAATATTGTCAACATCAGAGCCCGCAGCTTGCGCATAGGCTGCTAGAATGGAGTTCCAGGTGACAAGGTCCCGGCCGGGCGTTTTATCGAACAGGCGGCGTGCGCATGAAAGCGACCTGCATTTGGAGTACACGGTAATGAGGTTGTTGGTCAAAAAATGATCGGGGGCGTTGCCGGAGGTTATGATAAGCGCATGCACACGCTTGCCGAGCTGCAAATCCATGGTGGTAATTGCGGTGCGGAGGACGGAGAACCATTGAGAAGAGGAAGAAGATGGTGAGATATGGGTAGAGTTAGAGATGGGATAGGAGAGAGATGAGAAGTTGAAGAGAGGGAAAAGAGTTTGTGAGTATGAAGTGTTGTTGGTAGAGAGGAAAATGGATTTGGGTCGGAGGTTGGCTTGCAACTGCATTATCATTTCTTGGCTGCATTGTCTGCTTTTCCCTCCAAAACTCAAGATTCTGGTACTTGTACTTCGGATTCGGAACACATAATGACCGGTTTCAGTGTGACTTCAAAATCTCAAGTATTTATTTCATTTTAGGGGGCATGTTGTGCTTGGTTAAATTTTTCAAGATGTACAAATTGCCCAGGGTCAGATTAAACCTTGAAAATGTTGGAAATGGTAGGCCAGTTGGCAGGAGGAGTGTGCTCATCCCGTTGCATTCGAGTTCAAGCTCCCTCTCCTCATATAGATTAGACTACTTTAGACCAGTGCTTCTTCATTGTTAATTGTAACATGATTCATAAAGTTTGTTGAGTTGAACTCCAATATGCCAAAAAAGTAAGAATTGGACAAGAGGGTCTCCAGTTAACTGTGTTATAGTATAGTCGGCCTGATCAAGATCATAGTTAAGAGGTCTTTAAAACATGAAGTTACATCTGATTGGCTCAGGGTGCAATTGGCAAGGTGAATTGTTCTATCATGTAATTCAATTCTATCAGTTACATCTGAGAATCAAAAAGGAATTTAAAAAGAAATAAAATTTAAGGTACAAAATTAACAAAAAAAGAAAAGAAAAAAGTTGCAAGACATCTTCTAATGAAGGATCATTTTTGGCTACTGAAATGTAATCCCTCGGTCAACTGGTCGAACTTAATGGTACACTTGTCCCTTTTCTCTTTTGGGTGTTTTTCCCTCTAACTTCCCAATACTTCTCTTCTTTTTTTTTCCTTTTTTCAGACTTGGACTAAACTTGATTTCTTCCCATATACAGGTACAAGAATGGCTATGATGACTATGCCTTCACGGACTGTGCTGTGTTAAAAACCTCATATACCTCACACTGTCATCTTCCTGGCTCAGTATAACAGAATTCGAAGCAGCCCTGGCTGTGGCTCAGTGTAGTCAAGGCCTTCTTCTTCAAGAAGGTATCGCTGTACAGCAACGGGGAGCCTTGCCGGTGTGCGAGAACCCCTGGTGTGGTGGCCAGTTCCAACACATATATAAACCAGAAGACCCGGCTCTCCTGCTCTGGCAGTGCTCCTCAACACGCTCAGCTCATGCTTCAGGACATGAAGGGCTTCACTTACGTGCAGCCCGTGCAGGTCTATCATCCTCTCTTGTGCTCTCCCATTGCCCTGCATCTCCGGAGCAACTGGGTTCCTGTGTTTTTAGAAAGAGTAGAGACAAGAAGAAAGGCAACAAATAACTTATCAAAGAAAGAAAACAAAAACATGAAAACATGAAAACTAAGGTTATCGGGGGCAAATGCCAAAATTAGTCAACAGTGTTGAGTCTGTTATCAAACTCATGCTCTGTATGAGTAAGTAGCACTCTGTTCAATAAACATTGTCTCAGACACGCCCAGAACAAGAGGCAGCTGCAATGGTTATCTAGAAGCATTCTCAGATCAAATCTCTCTAAGTTCAAAAGATGCTAATCAGTCAAATAGAAGCTTCATTTATTCCCTTCAAGATAAAATGGATTTCTGGTAGGCAGAGGAGGAAATGAAAATCCAATCTTATCATTGCATAAAAAAATCAACTTACCATGAGTCTGTGTGCATTTGTTAGAGAGAGAGAATTTCAGGCAACACGGGGGAAAATCAAAATTTCATAGTGGAACAAATATTATCCAAAAGACATAACAAAAATGCCTTTCCAAAAGACTACATGAAGCCATCCCCTTTGAGGATGAACAGAAGTATGACTCAAATATGGTAAAACAAGATTCCAAAAATACTTGGGGACAACAAACCTCTGACGATATATAGATTCTTGAGCTTTTCCATGAGCTTCCTTCATATGCATGTTGTGCAGCTGTCCTTTAACGCTCAGCTCCTTCGCCAGAGCCTTGTTTCCAATAAGGTATGCTTGCCGTGCCTGTTTTTAAAGAGAAACAATTAGGGTAAATTTGATTTCACAGCCACCTTAGGTGGAAAATTAGTGGTGAGGATTGGAGCGAACCCACAAGTCGTTATGTGGCTCAGCATTCAGCATGCCGTTATAGCAATATCATGTAGGAAAAACACTCCTACAAATACCCATTGGTTAAAATACGCACGTTTCAAACCAATGGAATGTGCACACCACCTGCCATGTGCCACTGCAGTTTGTTTCCTTGACCATTTATATTCCTTTTCATTGTTAACATCAAGAGTAGGCCAAACAGCATTGTTGGTCAACTCGATAGAGTCAATCATGCTTGAAAATTAAATCTACCGAGATGTCCACATGCTTCACCAACTCAACTTTTAGTCAATTTTGAGGATTTACTGTTGACATAAAGTAAGAAATATATTGAAAAAAGGCCTGACGTTCAACAGAAAGACCACTTCACAAACTTGAGGACTAACCTGCTCAAAATATGCATTACGTAGGCGTGCATGGTCACGAGCTTCATCCCGTATATCAGAATACATATTTGCTGTCATCTCAACAATATTAAAGAAAATATAAATCGAGAAGGCGTGCCCAAATTGATTGGACATAAACAGAAGTAATTTGGTTGACTAAGGAACATTACCAACAGCATCTCCAGTTTCAAGCCAAACAGGAGCAGTCCGAGCTGAACCACGATTCTGCGACCTGTCACTGTAGATGCCTCTTCCATGCCCAGTATTGTAAGTGCTAGGCAAAAGATGGGAACGTCTGCTTGAGCCAATAGCGGCTTCGGGAGAACCATTTCTCTCATACTTCCATCCACCAGAATCCTGAGCAGCCAATTTCCTGACAGCTGAAGCAAAATCTATTGCACCTCTAGATGGAATGGATGAGCTAGACTTGAAAAAAAGCATGTTGTCCTTGTCAGAAGATCGGTAAGGATTGCCACTTTGCTGGAGATCATCATCTCCATATTTTGGATGACTATGCTGACCATCTGTTGGTGTAAGTGCAGGGAAATCCATTGAACTAAGATCGGGAGCTGACACAGTCTTCGAGTTCAGATTCTCATTAAAACCACCATCAACTTGAAGCTACAACCAAAACAAATATGCACCATCACACACCTCAATTCACAGTAATGAAACCGATATTTATTTATTTTTAAAAATAAATAAATTAAGCATACCTCCAACTGAGTCAACATCTCAATAGTAAGGTTTAAGTCACAACCATTGGCAAAGTAAACTTCGGCAAGGCTCTGAGCAGAAAATCCAGGGAACTGTGAAGCCAAAAACTCAGCAGGGTTAATATCAGTATCGTCGACAACTGCATGCTCACTGAACATATCATTCATGAACCCCTGTCTAGAAAATCCATCATATGGAGACCCCTCCTGACCATTGCTAACAAGCTGATTACTGTTCACAATTTGCTTATCCCAAGGCTTAGGTGACATATGCAAGAAACTGGCGGAGGACAGATCATCCCCAAAGGGGGGTGCAGAAGCTCTTAACTTTTCAGAAAAGTTATTACCATTAATATGTGACTCGTTCAATAAGTATCCACTGCCTGTAGAGGCAGGAAACTGTGTTGCTTCACCATCCTCATGTAAGGACAAACCCGCCAAAGAGAGATTCCCAAGGCCTTGTGACTCATCTTCTCCCATGACCTTAAAGTCAGGAGTAATATCATCAGGGAGCTGGTGACGCCAATATTGGTGGGCCTCTTCATCGGAATTATTTGATGCAGAAGACTCTGTTCGATCTAGTACTGCTTTTCCAAAGGTTCCAGTGGAAGAAAACTTTGTTGCGGCCTGACCTGTGCTGGTGCTTCCAGATGACGGAGATCTGAGGGAAAAAGGAACGAACTCTGCTGCATTTGGATTCAAGGCAGTTGCCTTGTTTGCGGTGCTTACTTTTGTGTCATTAGTAAAGGTTCCTTTCTTGGACAAGCTCATTATTTACTAAGATGGAAATAACTAGACCAGCTTTGAATGAAAGAAGAACTTGTTTTTCATTAAGCTTCAACCAAACCCTGCAAAACAGTTCATGGAGTGCTATAATTAGTCCATTGACCCAAAACCTCCATTCACGACTAACCCACTCGCTATTCAGTGTGTCCATCCAATCAGTGCAAAAAGATTTCTAGCTATAAACCAACATAAAATAATAGCTAAAAGGGAAAACAAAATATACATTTTTTTATAATTAAAAAAAGTATTAAAATCATACATATATTCATCACTTTTATAGACACAAACTAAAATAATTCGTTCACTACTGAAATTAGCTAAAACGCAATAATTTTAGTGGATTCTGTATAAGTAAAAAATGGTGCGTGAAATAAAAGATAATAAGCTTATTGCATTTGTAGGTTTAAATTATGTATAAGAAATAGACAAACGACAAAGCTGTTGACAAACAAAGACTCAATTCGGTCAGTAGGATAAAGCTTAAACCCCAAAATTCAATTTCACATACTGATTAAAATAACAAAAAGATAAAGATAAAGATTCATTTTCAAACAAAAGTAAACAAGATAACACAAAATAAAATCTCCCACTTCAATTATATTCAAAGCTCATTAAATTAAGACCTGATTTGAACACCAACCACCCATTTCCACAACAAAATCTTGATAAAATCGAGGATAAAAAACAAACAATAAAGAAAAACCAACTCGAAGTACACACCAAAACCAAATCCCCAATTAGCCAGGCAATCGAATTCAATAGATCTCAATAAATTCAACGTCAATAATCACAAAGTTTAAAAAATTCAAAGCAACCCAGAAATGAAGATAACAAAGCAAACAATAAAGCTGCAAAATTTAACAGAGGAAGTGAAAGATCCGATTGAATGAAGTAGCAAGGGTGTACCTTTTCGTATCAAATCGAAGGGATCCATCGGCTGATATTAGCAGAGCTTAAAAGAAGAGAGAAGGTAAAGGAAGAAGAAGACAATCGACGATTGGGGGTTTTGTATTAAGCTTAGAGAGTTGTGTCTCCAGTATTATCTTGAGCTTTCAGGGCTCTCTATATCTCGACTCTCTTTCTTCTCTCTCGGGTCTGTGTGTGTTGTGTGTGTTTTTGTTTGAAACCCTCAGCCTAATCCGAGCACCACAAAAACAAAAATGTAAAAGACGACCCAACCCCTTCGCCACTCGATTTGACCCCTCTCTCTCCTCTCTCCTCTCTCCTCTCTCCTCTCTATCTATCTCTGTCCAAATTCTCCGCATTATTTTGTTTACTTAATTAATTAATATATTTTTAATATAAAGATTTATTTGACGTAATAGGGATTCGGGGAGGATGAGCACAACTTTTTTAGCTGAATATTTTAATATCGATTTATTTATTATTAGCGTCATGTTTGGGAAATTTAACAAGTTTGGGAAAATGGGTTGGGATCCAAGTATTTTTCTATTTTGTTACAACATCAAAACCGATATTGTAAATTTATAAAGTCCAATCAATACATGCAATAATCAAAATACCAAATTTTCCACCAACCCAAGTACCAAATTTTATGTTTTCTATATTTTTTAAGTCAAATAAATAGAGAAAAACAAATGAAAAAACATTATGAAGGGAATTTTCGATATGGGTTACTTGATTAATGAAACCATTTACCCTGGCTGAATAAAGAAATGAGAACTAACACACATTTTTAACCAAGAGGATAACCACAAATCAATGTCTCCCTTCCCTTGATGTCTTATTTTGGACATATTTAATTTACTGCTCACATGAAATAATATTGAGTTATTTACACTAACACTTTCTGAGATTTTCGTTGTTTTCACAAAATCTCTTGAAATTTTAAAAATAATATTTGACTATTTTTATATCTTACAAATTATCCCGCAAAGTTTAACTTTTGGATATTACATAGGATTTAGCACAGTAAATACACAATATACATAAGCTGTATAAATTTTTTTTTTTCTGGGTCAGGTATAAAATTAATAGTGGAGGAACTTGTGTCACTTTTAATTACCGAAAGTACATGCAAATAATAAGAAGGGACAAGTGCAAACAAACCCAAATACATCCATAAATAAAGAAATGAATAACTTATTTGCTTTACCCAAATGCCTTATTTAATTGTTGGTGCGGATCTTTTAATTAGCTTCTTTTTTCTTTTTTAGAAATAGAATTATCTACTTATGGGATTTATTTACATAAGAATATTGGAAAGCTTTGGAATATTCCAACCCATCTAATTCTAATTCCACGGGAAATTATCTTGGGTCTTGCCCTTACGTGTCATGTTGTTGGACCTGGACTGGACCATATGGAGCAAACAAAATTAAATGATAGTCAAAATGGTTTCAGAGACGGAGCTCTAAATTTCCCCACTGCCAAATATTATTATGTCACAAGCGTCCCACAGTCCCACTCAATCTAACTAGCATTTATTCTCTCACTCTTGAGACATGGATGGGAAAAAAATGCTTGATTTGCCTGTGAAAACCTTGGATGGGCCGATCCACAACGTATCATGCTAAATATGTTGTCAAATCTTGTCCAAAAAAGAATATTTCAAGTCTAATGAAATGAACTTTTGATGCATACTGCTTAGAGGTAGGCTCATATATATTTTGACTAGACATGAAAAAAAAAATTAAAGGTTTATTTATGTATGTATGTATATGAATAGAAATTGCAACGGTTCACAACATATACGTTTCTTTATCATAATTACCTTAACATGTGAAACAATCACACACTTTAAACTTAAAATGTCCTGTCATTTTGGGATTAAAGTATCTCTAACAGTTTCTTCAACAACTTTGAAATGTTAAAATAGGTGAGCCACATCACCAAAACTTCCTCCAGACTTGTTAAACTAAGTCATCAAAGTTGCAACCCCTTTCTCTCTCTTAAGGACTAACAAGTTGACCTTGGCTCTTCAAAAAATTTCATTTTGCTTTGGAACAACAAAACCTATATTGAAAATTATAAAAACCTACAATTTTTCTTTTCAAATAATAAATAAATAGACTTTCTTCACATTTTTCATATTTTTTTCTTTTCACAATATTGCATTAATTAAATAGATATTTACTCATATACCCATTCTTAGCACTAATAATATAAATCAACCCTAGACCATTTAAATTCTATAAACAAACCCAAAAAATGATAGCTGGCCCTATTGAATTTAATTTTGATTATTAAATTATTTTAATGCCCTATTGAGCGTTTTGAATTTTTTATGAGGTTTTGCGATTGGGCTTGTTTTAAGAAATCGATGGTAGTTTTGTAATTTATAAAAAGTTAGAAGCCTCTTTGTTATGTTGTAAATAGGCTTTGGGTGTGTTTCTAAAGTCCATTTCATATATGTTTTTTTTTATAATTTGGGCTCCTATATTAGGTATAATAGTGAATCTCTCTGAATTATATTGAAGAGTCTATTGAGGCACAAATTATTAAATTAGCAAACAAACATTTTCAATTAGCCACATAGGTCAATGAAAGTTGAAGAGTTTAAGTTGCTACTACTATTGGAGATGCTCTTATTCATGTGTATAATAATATATAAAGAAAACAAAAAATCGTATGAAAATTCTTTATTATAGACGGGGTTAGCCCAATTAGTGTAGGCAGTGAGCATATCCTATTGCACTAAAGTTCAAATTTCTTTTCCCCATAAATTATATTAATTTAGTATAGTTTAGAATATTACTTGTACAACAATTAATAAAAAAAACATTTTATAAGTAGTTTAATAAATATATATTTTTAACGTTATTCTGAAAATTGAAGGAAAATAATGAAAATATAATTAAATCCCACATGAAAAATGTGATTTTTTTTAATTAATCATCAATTAGTGAGAGAAATCAATGTATTAGGCCCGTACCTTTACTCAATTGGCCCCCACTTAACATGCCGTAGGGGCTGGAGGAGGAGCCATGCCCATGATAACTCAACCTCATTTAAATACGAGCGAGCGCATAAAAAGAGTGCGTGCCAAGAGGCCTTAAACAACACATTGGGCTTTCTTTTTCTCTTAAGTGAAACTCTAAACAAGTAACCTCCATCGACACAGAATAGAAGCAGAAGGTTCAAAATCCAAAGCTCAACACACAATATAAGCTTCCACTTGCACCCAATCAAAACAACACACATGTCACGATCCGAAACCAAAATGAAAAACTGCAAAGAAACTTGTTTGAAACTTAGTGGCGGCTTGGGTTGCTTGGGTAGCAGCGACGGCTTGGGTAGCAGCGACGGCTTGGCCTTGGGCAAGAGCGACGGCTCGAGCAGCAGCGACAATCGCAACATTCATAGTTGGGTAATGGTTAACCATACATGCATACTCATTTTATTTATATCTCTTTTTTTTTCTTTTTCTTTTTCTTTTTTTCAATTTTTTTCAATTTTTCAATTTTTCTTTTTTTCAATTTTTCAGTTTTATTTTTCCAATTTTCAATTATAGGCTAATTATAAGAGTTAAAAACCTAACAATAATTATGGGATGATTATAAGAGTTAAAAACCCAACAACACCTTAGGAAATTAGGGAAAACGTAACAACAATTACATATGCTAATTGTAAGAGTTAAAAACCCAACAACAACTTAGGAAATTAGGGAAAACGCAACAACAATTACATATGCTGATTGTAAGTTGAAAAAACTTAACAACAAGATAGGGAAAACGTAACAATTTCATATGCTGAACTCTACCGTCCAACTCCTCCAATAAACGACGGAGTCAACGAAGGTGTTCACTGCGAGGCATGATGTGATCCATGGCCGCATTACTCTGCATTGTTTCTCTCAACTCCATGATCGCAACATTCATAGTTGGATGATGGTTAACCACGCATGCATATTCATCTTATTTATAGCTCTCTCTTTTTTCTTTCATTTTTTCATTTTTTCCCCTTTTTTCAATTTTTTCATTTTTCATTTTTTATTTTTATTTTTTGCAATTACGGGATGATTATAAGAGTTAAAACCCTAACAATAATTATGTTATGATTATAAGAGTTAAAAATCCAACAACACCTTAGGAAATTAGGAAAAACATAACAACAATTACATATATTGATTGTAAGAGTTAAAAACCCAGCAACAACATAGGAAATTAAGGAAAAGGCAACAACAATTACATATGCTAATTGTAAGAGTTAAATACCCAACAACAACTTATGGAATTAGGGAAAACGCAACAACAATTACATATATTGATTGTAAGAGTTGAAAAAACTCAACAACAGCTTAGGAAAAACGCAACAATTCCATATACTGAACTTTACCGGCCAACTCCTCCAATAAGGTTTGAGGATACCGACCACGACGGAGTCGATAAAGACGTTCAAGGCGAGGCATGATGTGATCTATGGCCGCATCACTCTGCATTGTTTCCCTCAACTCCATGATCGCAACATTCATAGTTGGGTGATGGTTAACCACACATGCATATTCATCTTATTTATAGCTCTCTCTTTTTTCTTTCATTTTTTCCTTTTGCCCATTTTTTTTTTCAAATTTTCAATCTTTTTTCATTTTTTCTGTTTTTATTTTTCCTTTTTTTCAATTACGGGCTGATTATAAGAGTTAAAAACTCATCAACAATTATGAGATGATTATAAGAGTTAAAAACCCAACAACAACTTAGGAAATTATGGAAAACGTAACAACAATTACATATATTGATTATAAGAGTTAAAAACCCAACAACAACTTAAGGAATTAGGGAAAATGAAATAACAATTACATATGCTAATTATAAGAGTTGAAAAAACTCAACAACAGTTTAGGGAAAACGCAACAATTCCATATGCTGAATTCTACCCACCAACTCCTCCAATAAAGTTTGAGAATACCGACCACGACGGAGGCGTTCAAGACGAGGCATGATGTGATCCATGGGCATATTACTCTGAATTGTTTCCCTCAACTCCATAAGGACGGCAGAGTGACGAGTCCCGTGAAGTTGACTGGTAACTATTTCCAGAGAATGGTTTTCGGTGACATTAAAGAAACTCATCTCTAGCGGAACGGCAGCAATGGCAGCTTGGGCTGCAGCGGCGACTTGGGCATCAGCGGCAGCTTGGGCAGCAACGACAATCGCAACAATCATAGTTGGGTAATGGTTAACCATACGTGCATAATCATCTTATTTAGAACTCTTTTTTTCTTTTTTTTTTCCTTTTTTCAATTACATGAT